AGAGACAAGTGAAGCCGATCCTTTGACCAAACGTGTGCTAAACAATTGTGGTGTCTACCTTTGATTAATCATACTTTACCTTCATTAGGAAGTTTTACGAGCAACATTAAATAGTTGTCGGGTCACAGATGGACGAAGAGTGTGTGATTTTTCCCTGGATTGCAGTCTTTTCTTGTTCGAGAGTCTGAAGAAATGCAATTTAGCGGTAAAAGTGCCACTATTATTAGCATTTGAAGACGACCAAGAAGAACTTTAGGTGAGGATTACGTTGAGACCTACATCATGCTTGAACACACGTTTGGGCTATATGGTTTGGGTAGGCGGCATAAACTCGGATGCACTATTTACATTCTTTGTTCCCACATAAAAGCTGAACTCCATATTGTCTTCCTCCTTCAGACGAATGTTAGATTTTATCTTCAAATGCCTCATAGGCTCGCTATTGTGTTCGCATCAAAAGCGGTACATGAGTGTTCATCTATTCAGCACCGTGTAGGTTGGTATGGTGGTTTTGGTCTCAGCACTAGAACTTTCCATGACGAAACGAGGATTTGGAGGTGAAGGTGGCTGTCTAGGATTAAGAACTTAAAAGGAATAATCATGTAATGATGTCTTAAAGTGAAGTTTAGGTGAACAATAACATATTAGGTTGCAAAAGAACTGTATGAAGGGCGTAAATAGTTAAACGACTAGAAATGGACGAGAAGTTGTGTTGGAAAGAAAGAGGAGAAAATCAAGTATAACTAGACTGTTTTGCTCATAAAAGTTCAAATTTCTAAAAAGGGCAACATCATATGTGGATTGTCTATGACGACATGGCAACTGTATAACCAATGAGAGAGTGAAGTAAAGAGAAGGATAAGATAAGGAAGGTAATGATAATAATGATGGCAATGACAAGGCGGAGGATAAGGATGAAGAAGGATGAGAAAGAGGATGAGGAAAAAGATAAGAATGAAATTTAGGATAATAAATGTGGATATTGATGTTGCTGAGGATAATGATTAGGATGTAGATGGGGGGGAGGGTGTTGAATAGTCTCTAAATGAGGATAGTGATGAAAATGAAAATTGAGATTAGTATCATGATCATGATTTTATAAAGATGAGAATGACGATCAGGATCAGAATAGACGTTAGGAAGATAGAGATGAAGAGGAATAGGAGGATGAAAAGCGGCAAGAAAATGCAGTTGATAATGAAGATGAGTATGATAATGCGGATTACGATAAAGATAAAGATAAGGCAGAAGACGAGGATCACAATGAGTATGAAGATGAGGACGAGGATGAGGATGAGGTCGGGGATATGAATAAGAATGAGGAGAAGGATCAGGATCAAGATCAGGATTTTGGTAAGGCTGAAGATGCGGAGGAGAATGAGGATGATGTGGATGGTGATTAGGATCGAGATCACGATGTTGACAAGCATGAAAAGTCGGATGAAGATGACAATAAGAAGATGGGGCATGAGGATTTTGACAAGGATGAAAAATAGTACATTAATTTAGATTAACTCGAAATCAGGAAGGAAAGTAAGATAGGTATAGGGAAGATGAGGTGGGTGAGGACTTTGAGATTTGGATCAAAGTGAGATCAAGGAAAAGGCAAGAAAGGGGAGAAGGAGTGAATGATACAAATGAAGATAAGAAATAATATTTTGGCAAGAACGAAGATGTGGATGAAGAATAAGAGGAGGATGCGGAGTATTAGGAGTATTAGAAGGACGGAAATGAAAATGAGGATGTGTATGGGTATGCGGAATATGGGGAAGATAAAGAGTGTAAGAAGGATGAGGAGAAGAAGGAAATGTGATGAGCAATCAACTATTTAAGTTGGACTCAGTTTAGCATAGTTCTGAAACTGAAACCATTTGTTTTCTTTTACATAAAACGTAGATATTTATTTATATCAAGTCGTTGGTGTTATGCATCTGTTATAGGCCAAAGGCGTTAATGGAAATCGAGAGCATCTCTTATGCATCGGCATTAGATAAAAGTCGATGCTATTTTTCGGTATGTCAGTTACTGTTTTCTAATAACCATTAATATTTTATTTCCATTCATTTCTGTCTTATGCTAACGTCAATTTTTTTCTTTCATGGAAACGACTGATAATTTGAATCTGGAGATTTACAATAAAACTGATAAAATAAATTAGTTGTACTCTTTTCCTGAAGCAATCTCTTTGGCTGGGCATGTTTACTCTCGAAATCCGAGATGTAAATCTAAAACTCTCCAAAGCTTATTTGCTCGGAAGATCAGTGGAGCTGGGTAGCAACCCTTCTCTGATCCAGCGATTGGGCGGATCTTCGCAGTTTCATCGAAGCCACCTCAGAACGTACTCCAGATTGATTCACTTATAGTTGCTCAGGCCACCAAGCCGAGTGAGTAAGTCTTTCTTAGACTGTTGACAGTTAAGGAAAATACTTTTATATCTCCAACTTTTGCTGAGCAAACCAGCCATAATCTTTATCCAAGTTGTATGTCAAGTCCCATAAGGAAAGATGACTAATTCATAGCTGGTCATCTAAAGTCGTTTGAAGCAAACGACAACTCAACAACGATCGACTTTGGTCTCTGTTTGTCTGTCATTCGAAGTATAGCATGGCATTTCGTCAACTTTATGATTAGTTTAATAGTAGATACGAAGAGAAACTTGGTTTCGATGAATCTCCTGAGATAACATTGTTCGGGGGAACTTCATTTCG